GCGGCCGGGGCCCGCGCTCCCTCGGTGCGCGGCCTGCCCTCCCCGCGGCGGCCGCAGCCTCACCTGACGTGAACAGCACGATGGCTTTGAGGCAGCTGTACTCGGCCGAGTCGACGTGCAGCGCCTTGAGCTTCTCCACCTGCTCCTGGAAGATGCGGATGTGGTCCATGAAGGCCACCACGCGGTCGGCGGACATGGGCGAGGCGTGCAGGCCGGCGGCGGCCAGCAGCGGCGCCACGTGTAGGGGCATGGAGCACTGGGCCGCGTTGAGCACGAACAGCTCGCTCCAGGTGAGGCGCAGCAGGGACACCTGGTCGGTGATCTGCAGATCCGGGAAGAAGGGGATGTTGCGGGCCCACTCGACGGCGCTGAAGAGCAGGCGCGCGGCCAGCTCGCAGATGTTCTCGATGCCCATGATGTTGTTGGGCTGCATGCACTGGCTGCCGTAGCGAGACGTGGGGTAGGGCTCGGCGCGCAGCAGCAGCGAGATGTAGCCCGACAGGTAGCAGTGGCCGTTGAGGGGGTCCCCGTTGGTGAGCGCGTACTGGCCTGGGTTGGGCTGGGTCGGAGGCATTCTTCCTCGCTGAACCGCTGACAAAAAGAAAGAGAGAAAAGAGGCAATGTGCATCCAGGGGGCTTGCGAACATCGCGGAGCCGCCGACACAAAGCGGAGGCCCTGCCCGCTGCCACACGCGGCCCGGGCACCTTCTCTCCAGCGCTCGCGCTCACTCACAACCCACACCGCCACGGGAGCTGGACGGAGGCCCTGCTGTCCTGAGGCGGAGGTGTCCGGCTGCACCCCGGGCTCACCCCTAGCCCAGCCGGATCCAGGCCTGACTTCAAGGCCCCCAGCCAGGCATGGCCAGCCCAGCTCCCAAGGCCAAGAAAGTGCCAACCTCTCCGCCACCAAGGAAGAACAGAAAGAAAAATGAAACCCCATTCACCCCTCCAGACTGAGACATCCGGGTTGAAAAAAAAAATAAAAAAATATATATATATAGGCGAAACCGGAGAAAGGTTGTGGTTCTAGGCAAATGCCTAGTGGCCTCCTTATTTGCAAGCAAGCAGCAGTTTCCTCATAAAACGTTTCCACATTCTTTTAAAATGCTATAGGGTTATCCTTAAAATAGATACAAGTTACATACCCTCCTAACCACTTTTAACTTTGGAATAGAGAACAAGTATCCTACACCCCTCTCTCCTCCCCTCCTTCTCATCCCACAAAGTTCTCACTGTTAAAAACAACAGCAAATTGAACATTTTCAAGAAAAAAGTTGAACTTACAGTAGCCAAACATTATTGAAAAAAAGTGGGAAATAGAATTAATTTCTGTCCTGCGCCGTGGCCCCTGCAACCTGCAGCCAGCTTTTGCCCAGTGAATGCCCGAGCTTGCAACTGCAAAACACTGGATTCATTAACCATCTGAATGCAAAAACGTAAGCATGCTTTGAGTTCTTAAAGCTGACCAAAGTTTTTTTTTCTTAATGTGTATGTTTTACTTCCACACTCCCAGCATTTTAAATGGTCATGTAAACAAAGGCAACTTTAGGGAAAGTTAGGGCTACTGAACTCTTCTCCCCAACAAATTAATGTAGTTATGTCCATGTACATGTAGCTGTATTATTTCAAATTGGACACTATCTTCTTAAGTTTGCCTTGATTCTAATTTTAATGAAAGTCCCAGTGCCATTTAAGGTTTTGCAGAATAATGGCTAGAATACTTTTTTCTACTTTTAGTCTTGAACTTGGCAGTTATTTTTCAATTAAATGAAAGCACAATTCAAAGTTTTTTTGTTTGCTGTCCCCCCCACCCTTTCTTTCAGATGCCTACAAAATCTCCCTGGAGCTAAGAATGAAGTCAGTCCTCATATCTGCCTCCTTCTTGAGAACTAAAGGAATTCAGTTTCTTTTCTTGTGGCCTAGAAAATATCATCTTAAAGTCAATTACAAGGAGGAGTAATCTGCATTCTACAAAATTGACTGGCTCCCTAATTTGTCTCTAAGACATCGTTTAACGATTGTTAGAAGATAAGCTAACTGTAAATAGCTAAATATATTGATAAGCACTGCATCTCTTGCCACAAGAACATGAAACATATCTAGATCCAACATCAAAAGTTGTGTTTTAAAACAACAACAACAACAAAACAAACAACAAACCCATACAACACAAGGATTAAATGATGTGGGAGCTCATGCCAGCTGCAGCCTGTGCATTATAGCCAAATCAGAAGGATCAGCAAATGCGTAGTAAATTGTAATTTGTATGCAGTATTTAAGCAGAGGGTGGAGTTTGATGAAGAAATAAAAGGAGTATCATGCTTTAAAAAAAATGACACCACTATGAAAGCACAGTTCAGTCACAAACTTTCCTTTCAAAGTAGAGGGGCGAAAACAAGGCCCCAGCTCCAGAGGAGGCGGCCCCAGCCCCGTGGAGAGAGAGGGAACCAGTGAACGAACGGGCTGGAAGCCCCCCTTCCCCCCTAATTAGACCTACAAGTGCAATACATCTCAGTCCTCTTTCTCCAAGCTAAGCTTCCCAAAGGATGGTAGCAGCAATGAAGGTACGGCTCAGGGTACTCCAATCCCTTAACCCTCTCCCATTTAAAATGAAGGGTATGAAGAGGTGGAGGGGAAAGTGGAATGTGAAAAACAAAACAAAACACAAAAAAACCCACAAAAAAGGACTTTTCTGGGGGAAATAAGCAACCCCCTCCCCAAGTTCATGCCAGCAGAGCCCCGAGCATCCTCAAGCACACAGGGGAAAGAGACACACCAGGCACATCCAAGACCGAGGGAGGGAGGGGATTTTAAGCCACAGCTCACGATCCCAGGGACACAAGCCGGAGCAGGCAGCGGGCGGGCGGGGTAGGGGAGCCGGGAAGAGGAGCGCAGGCCGGGAGGGGGAGGCGGCAGCCACGAGCTGGGGGGTGGTGGTGTCTGAGACGCAGGGGGCAGGAAGGCAGCGGGGACAGGGGAAGGACACACGAACCGAGGCCCGCTGAAGCCCCAGCCCCATACAGCAGCCACCCCCGCGAGGGAGAAAGAAAGAGGGCCGAGGAGCCGGGAGCAGCGCGGGGAGAGAAGCAGAGAAGAAATATTCACCTTCCCGCCTCATGCCCACTTTGAGGCACTTCTTGAGGCGGCAGTATTGGCACTGGTTGCGGTGGTGCTGGTCGATGGGACAGTTCCTGTTGGCACGGCATGTGTAAGTTAAGTTCCTGCGGACGCTCCTCTTGAAGAAACTTTTGCAACCCTCGCAGGTGAATTGGCCGTAGTGCTTGCCGCTCGACTTGTCCCCGCACACCACGCACTCGATGTGCTGCTGGCTCTGGCCCGAGCCCG